GCAACATTTTCCCTTTCCTTTCCAGACATGAATGATTGCAACGCATGATCAGATACAGAGTATCCAAACAAGAATCAAGTTTTCTGTCTTCCAAAGACCACCACCTTCCTGTCTTATGAAGAAGCTTTAGGGTTCATATTAGCCTTCCTTGCTCTTGCCTTTTCTTTCATCACAGCTCTGGTGCTGGCTGTGTTTGTGAAGAACCACAGGACTCCCATAGTCAAAGCCAACAACCAGAAACTCACCTACACTCTCCTCATATCCCTGCTGCTCTGTTTCCTTTGCACACTGCTGTTCATTGGCCGTCCTGAGAAGGCGACTTGTCTCCTGCGCCAAACCACTTTTGGCATCATCTTCTCCCTGGCAGTTTCTTGTGTGCTGGCAAAAACCATCACCGTGGTGCTGGCTTTCGTGGCCACTGAGCCCGGATCAAGGATGCGGAAGTGGGTTGGGAAGGGACTAGCCAACACCATCATTCTTCCTTGTTCTCTAGTCCAAGCAGGTATTTGCACGGTGTGGCTGGCAAGCTTTCCACCATACCCAGGTGTTGACATGTACTCAGTGACTGGAGAAATTGTACTGGAATGTAATGAGGGGTCTATGAGAATGTTTTACGCAGTACTGGGCTATATGGGTTTCCTGGCCATTGTGAGCTTCGTAGCGGCTTTTCTTGCCCGGAAGTTGCCAGACAGCTTCAATGAAGCCAAGTTCATCACTTTCAGCATGCTGGTCTTCTGCAGTGTTTGGCTCTCCTTTGTTCCAGCCTACTTGAGTTCCAAGAGAAAGTACATGGTGGCTGTGGAGATCTTCTCTATCTTGGCCTCTAGCGCTGGCTTACTGGGTTGTATCTTTTTCCCAAAATGTTACATTAAGGTGCTAAGACCCCATTTGAACAACAGAGACCATCTCTTAAGAAGAAAATACTGAAAATCCTGTCTTTGTTGTTCTTTTTTATATGAGAGAAACGAAAAGAAGGAAACAGCAGCTACATCTCACATAATTGGTACCAGCTTTTTATTTGTTCCTCCTCTGCCACCACCAATTCCTCATCTGCCGCAACTGCCACCTCCTCCTCCTTCCCTTCTTTATTCATTTCTTTACCATT